ACAGGAATGAAAAGTAATAACAAGCATCATAAATGCTAGGCAGATAAGAATCTATTCTATTTAAGAAGACCTCCACCTGGCAGTCTTCCTGCAAATCACTCTCCCAAAGAAGGGACAGGCTTTTCCCTGCCACCTTTAGAGAGGTGGCCAGAGTGAGGAGGCTGCAGAGGCCTGCCTCCCAAGGCACGGGATAGGCACCTCTCTAACCAGAAGAGACGGAAACAGCAAGCTCCCCCTTGGTTTCTCTAATTAAAAAACATGATATACCTAAGGTATGCTCACTAAGGTGCTATTTTTTTACTACAGGTCTGGGCTACTTAGCTCATCTGCTTACAACAGAAATTCTCAAGCTTCAGTGTGCTTATTAAAAGTGCAGATTTATACACCGGCCCACTCTCATTCTATAGTTTTGGGGTGGGGGTAGAGTGGGAACCTGAATTTTTAACAAGCACTCCAGGAGATTCTGAGGTACCTGGTGCCCGGGCAATATTTAGGGAACCACTGGCTTAAAGCAATATTTCTTAAACTGGGTCACTGGATTTGCATCCTTGAGGGTTCCACAAAGAGAATTTTCACATTTTATATTTTTATTTTTATAATAATTTTTCAAATATTAAGTATATTCTGGATCATTTGAATGATAATTTTTATAACCAAACACTACTGCAAGACTTCCACTGAAGTGTTTACAATCAGTTGGCACCAAATATTTTAACTTTGTCTCAGGCTAATGAGACTTCACTCAGATTCAGACCTGATTTGAGGGTTCACACTAAAGGGAGACTTGAATGACATCACTCCATTTGCTCAGGAAGGGAAGTGAGAAAAGAAAAGAACAGCCTATGACAAATAACACGGACATATTGAATTTGGGAGGTCTATGGGATGTCTAATAAACAGTGGGGAAATGGGCTTACAGCTCAGAAGAGGGGACTTCTCCGAAATGAGATATCTGGGAGGTGCCACACTTAAGGAAGTGGCTAAAAACTGCTTCCTTTGAGAGCAGCCCTGACAGCAAGTAGATGAAGAAGGAAGAAAGACAAGGATGAAGCTCAGGGTCAAAACACAGGAATGGTAAGGCAGGAGGCAAAGGGAACTGGGAAAGAGGTCAGAGCATAGGAGGAGAACAAGGAAGCAGAAACTTCAGTGCCATCAGGGAAGAAAAAATTCTGAGGAGTGAATCATCTCCATGTGAGCTGACATCGTCCCCGATTTTCCTGTTAAATGAAATGTTACAAAACAGTATGTTCAGTATGATATCACTTGTGCAATAAAAATTACATATGTCCAAATACTTACAGAAAATTCCTGAAAGGAACGAAAATAACAATAAAAAGAAAACCAACAATAGCCTGTGGTTATCTCTGAGAATTAGGAGTGGCAGGGTAGAGAAAGGGAACTTTAACTTTTCATTGTGAACTACTTTGTACTGTCTCAATTTATTATCGTGAACATACATTACTTTCTAATGTTTTAAGCACTGAACAGCAGTATGATATTAAATTACCACAGTGAACAAGAAAGATAAGACTGAAAAGCGACCCTTTGTTTGGCAAGAAGGGAGTCGCTGGTGACCTTTAGCAGAGTGGTTTCAGGTATGAATGTGAAAGCTGACTCCATAACCTCAAACACATCCGCTTGAGCTTTAACGTGAGCGCACATGCACAGGAATCAGGAGATCGTGTTAAAATGCAGATTCTGATTCATTAGGTCTTGGAAGGAGTCTGAGATTCTCTGTTTCTAACAGCCTCCCACATGATATCCATGGGGCTGGCCCAAGCACCACACAGTTGAGCTGCACAATAAAGTAATCAGAATGCAGGATATGAACATGAAGGCAAAAAGATCACTATTTTCCAAAGGTGTCCCCTGCAAGGTGAGTCCTGAGGCATACTCTAATAAAAAAGATTCTATAATCAAATAGTTTTGTTAAATATCACAACCCATCTTGATGAGTCATATTAGGTACTTGCGTTTTATTGAGAATTTTTTATTGGATTTTCACTGAGACATTCCTAACAGTTAGGGCCAACCTTGTAGAAATGAAAAAGTATCTACCCCTTCAGAGTCTAATGTTCACAACAGGCTGTCCTAGAAGGTGTGGGGGAGCAGATATACCGGGTAGCAGGAGCTCAGGGGTATACAGGATGAAAACTGAAACATGAAGAAAAAACTGCATTTTGTCTCTGGTGCAACAACAGAGGTCTCCAAAAGGCAAGAAAGCTCCCAAAATACACCTTGTCAGGGCACATATACCAGTAAGTCTGATGCTCCTTGGTGGTACATGCTATGATGTCATCGGATATCTGCCAAACTTTATTCTAAATATTTCTGGACTCTTCTGAAATTTAGCCCAGCATAAGCAAGATGGCTTTAAAGCCAGGGAAATGAGCATACATGTGAATGCATAAAGTTGAATGTATTTATACCGCCTGAGGCTTCAACGGACAGAAGCAGGAAACCACAGAAGGTGACTTGACTTCACTGCTGGGGAGAGAGTCACACTTGGCATGAGCACAAACCTACTGTCCACTGACAGTAATTAAGAACAGCCTGGGGCAGGCTGGGCATCACTGACCCTTTCTTACCTGCTGAGATGGAGCAGGTGAGACCAGAAGAAACCTCAGAGCTCAAATAATCTGCTGGCGGCACTGAGTCATCCGTCCAGGACCCCCATCGTGTGGCTGCCCCAGAATGGCCTTCTAGACTCTCTTCATAGATAGTGCAGCTGAGGAGTGAGTTTCAGTGGGAGACTGGGTTTCAAAGGACCTCTCGGTGCAGAGGAGAGCAGAGGTTACTCACCTCGGCACGCCTTAGTCTTTTGAAAAGACTGCCACTCTCTCCTCTCTAACTTCTAAACCTGGCAGCAGAGGGTCCAAACCATATGGGGCAACTTGCACAGAGATTCAAATGACACCGAATTGGCCATAAAAAATGCTCTGAAGCTTTTGCATTCACAGGATGCAGTTTTGCATCCCCTCAGCTCTTCATTAGATGTCTGGTCAGTCAGTCCCAGCTGTTGTACTTGTCTCTCAAATTTACTAGGGAGGGAAATGGGCCTACAAAATTCCCTTTTCTCTTTAGCCCTCAGATGTGTTTACTTTTGAGAATACACATATCTGAACAGCACTGTGCTATGGTAACTATCTCATTAGTTAGGGGATAAAATAGAGACACATAGCTGTTACGGTACACTGATATGAACACTCGCCCAGTAAAGTCAAGCTTGACTGCAGCGGGGGCCTCAGGGGAATGAAGGTTGATGATGTTAATGCTGTTTCCCATGGCTCCTGCAAGGTGCAGGACCCTTTCCCACCATAGTCAGAATGTTTGCAAAATACAAAACAGTTTTAACATTCACCTAACAAATACACGTTCCCGATGTTAAATTTGTCTTCAAATATCCTCCCTGTCACACACACTGAATACACTTTAAACTCTCTGGAGAGTTTTTTTGAAAATCAAGAATCAATTATATCAGCCCCCCCATGATGCCACATCTTCAAGCCACCAACAGCTATGCAGCAAGTTTGCCTTTTTATTTCAGTTCTCTAGGTTCCCCCATTCCAATATGTTAATTTTAAAGAACTTGGAAGTTAGCTTCCAATCTATAAATGAGAAAGTTTTGTTCCTCTATTTGTACATAAAGCACTTTAATTGCCACAAACATCACTGAATATAGCATAGACACCAGAAAGACGGTGTACCCTTGAAATCATTTATCCCCCAAAGGTAAAACATTTCTAAAGAAACAAAAAGCAGAAGGGATGGGCTAGAGGGGATCTTGAATAAAGTGGTGCTTTTAGGGTATGTTTAAAGTTCTACCTGGGTGTTCCCAGGAGCTGGGTAATACGTCCTCTATCTCCACTCAACTTAATCCATAACAAAAATAGAATGAACAGGGCCTCCTTTACTCCTGTGACTGATTCCTTTCCTGAATTCTATAATGCAACTGCAGTCAGGTATGGTAGATGACTTGGGAGTAAGAATCTCCTCTATGCACACAAGTGTACTTCAAAAAGTTGATGGAAAGATTCGATTACCTTTTTTTTTTTTTTTTGTCTTTTTTTCGTGACCGGTAAGGGGATCACAACCCTTGGTGTGGTGTCGCCCACACTGCGCTCAGCCAGTGAGCGCACTGGCCATTCCTATATAGGATCCGAACCCGGCCGGAGCGTCGCTGCGCTCCCAGCACCGCACTCTCCCGAGTGCACCACGGGCTCGGCCCTCGATTAGATTTTAATTCTATTTTTCCACAGACTTTTTGAAGTGCCCTCAAATAGTGCCTGGATAATAGAAAAATGACTTCCATTTTTCTTGCATTTGAAGACCTCACCTCAAGATTTTTCATAGAGACAACATAATGACGAAATTAAAATCATTCTAAGTTATAATCGACTTTAAAAATTAAGTCCTTAGCTCTTGCTTAGAGACAAAAGAAACTCTAAAACCAACTTTGGTTCCTGTATTTCCTGATTAGCTGGGACACAAAAACCATATAAAAATCCAAATTCCTTGCTCCTTGGGTAAGAGAAAGGACGGAGCTGAGCTCCACTAGGCCCATTTAAGAAACACGTTTGGCTGGCAAAATGGACCGTGCTCATGGTGGGTTCCAGCACCTGGAGGGAGGTAGCCACTCCCCATCACTGAGGGGGTGGGAAACTGGAAGCGAGCTGGACAGTAACAAGAAAAGCATCGCTTTCCAGGGGAGGGTACCCAGCTCTGGAATGAAAGGAGGGACACATGAACTCCATTCAGGAGATGGAGTGTACACAAAAGTGCTCATTGTTGGGGACGCTGGGGTTCAGCCAGCGCAGCGCTGCCCAGAGCACGTGGTTTGGGCTGACGACGACCCTCCCAGCTGCGAGTCTGAATTCTCTCATCTCCTCCCATCCCCCTTAGAATTGTTCTCCGGTCTGTTGTCTAAGCAGCATGGGGATGACTCCAGGGCTGCGCCAGAACCGCCCCCGTACCTAACACCTCGGAGCGAGGGGACAACACTAAGCAGACGACCCTGCTTCCATCAGAGCAGACGTCACGTTACCTTTCTGCTTATTGAGAAACAGCAGCGGGGGCGCGGCGCCAGGAGCTCGCGGCCCAGGGTGCTCCGTGGCCTCGGGACCTCGGTCGCAGCTCGCAGCTTCCACGGTGGGCTCCTGCTGGAAGCGGCCCGGCTCGGCCAGGCCCCGCCGGCTGGGCGCGCGCTCCTCGGCCCGGGCGCCCGTCTCCTCCCGGATGGCGTCCAGGGCGCTCGGCTTCATCGGGGGCGAGTCCTGCTCCCGCTTGGGGCTCTCCTCCGAGGCAGAGGAGGCGTCGCACGACTCGATGATGAGCTCGCTGTCCAGCTCGGCCTCGCGCTCCTCCCGCAGGATGCTGTACTGGACGCACGGCGAGGCAGGCGAAGGCGGGGGGCCGCCCACGTGGCCGAAGCTCGCGTAGCCCGAGGGCAGCGCGTCCTCGGCGGCCATCGGCTCCTCCGACACCAGCTCGATCTCGGAGTCCCCCGACTCCGCGCTGCTGGCCTCATGGTCCAGGGGACTGGGGAGGGTCGGCAGCCCACAGCGGGCCTTGGCCTCGGGTCTGTCGGCCGCCTGGGCCGCCGGCCGTGGGCTCTCCGAGGTTTCATACGATAAGCCCTTTGCTTCTTTAATGGCGGTGATCAGCTCATCCTCGGAGATGCTGCATTTCCCCTGGGACTCTGCAGCAGATGGTTCTGTCGTCCCACAGAACGAAGAAGAGCCAGAGAGGCACACACACAGACAGACAGATGGACAGAAAGAGGAAGAAATAAAACAAAATTCCGTTAGGGGAGATGTTCTGTTGTTGCTTGAGAAACACACATCTCATTAGCACAAAAATAGTCTTGTTTCCAGGGCGATGCTGGAAAGACAGGCCACCTGAACTAAAAGGCTAATTACTGTTATGGCCCAATTAATCAGTGTTTTGCACACCTATCTGTCTTAATCCAGCTAATTTAAAAAATGACCGAGCAATTTCTTAGCAACAGAACCTCAGATGGTTTTTCTGTTTCAATGCGGCAAAAATTCTAGAGGTTTTAATTTCTGATTCATTCTCTCAGAGAAGTTTTTCAGTTTCACAGATTTCGTCAGATGATCTGATGTATATAACTCTCTAATTGGGCCCATCAACACCGACAAATCTAAAAATTGTCCATTATTCCCTGTCCACTGCTCTTCATCTTTTCTCTTTTAATAAAACAAAGAGGTCATTTGGAACCTTGGGTACAACGTGACTTCTGAGCTTTACATTTCCCATAAGAATCGGTATGTTCACTCTTTTTTAGTGGAAAATGCAACTAGGTGGAGCAATGTAAGGGAGAGTTTTTGCCAGTTCCACCAAGCAGTCTGTGCACATACATAATGCACAATCCCACAAGGCTTCCAAAGAACTGCCATTCCTTTTCCTCTCTTCACCTCCTCTTGGGAAGAACAAAACGAGTCACCCTCAGGCCCTGAGTAAATCCTGCCTTCTGCCTGATGTTTGTCCAGATGGCCTGAAGGCCACACTGGCAATCTTGCTGAACTTTCTTTCTTAGATGAGAGGCCTGGGATCACCATGACAACACTGTTTAGGAGTTTGGTTCTTCCTTGCCATACAGCAAAGCCTTATTTCAGAATATCTTAGACAGTTATCTCTGGTGCTTTTGTGAGCAAAATTCTTTGTCATTTCTCCAAAGCTTTGAGGTCACCGGGGAGTGAGAGGAGTGGACTATCTATGGCTAAGTCATTTGTTGTTTTAGGATTGTGAGAGAACCCCAACAGATAAAACATTTTAGATTTTCCTAATTCTCTTTAAATCAGAATTGATTTTATTCTTTATCCATACATCACTCCCCCTTCTGTTATTTATTGAGAACCTACCATGTGTTTAGGCCCTCTTCTAGGCACTTGCATATATCAGTGAAGGAAGCAGGTAACAAAATCCCTGCTTATAGTCTAGTGGGAGAAGAACACAATACATAAAAAATACATATGAGGGTACTTCAAAAAGTTCATGGAAAGATTCATATTATCTTTTAATTCTATTTTTGCACGAACTTTTTGAAGTACCCTCACATTATAAATAAGTAAAGTCTACAGTATGTTAGAAGATGTTAATACATATGAGGGTACTTCAAAAAGTTCATGGAAAGATTCATATTATCTTTTAATTCTATTTTGGCACGAACTTTTTGAAGTACCCTCACATTATAAATAAGTAAAGTCTACAGTATGTTAGAAGATGTTAGGTGCTATGGGTAAAAGTAAAGTAGGGTGAGGGAATCATTAGTGTTGAGACAGGGTGGGAACGAGTTCGCAATTTTGAGTACAGGAATCAGGACAGGACTCACTTAAAAGGTAATCGATATTTAAAACATGAAGGAGGTGAGAAAGTAATTCATGAAGATATCTGGAGGAAAAGAATACGAAGCAGAGGGTGCAGATAATGCAAAGGCCCCGTGGTGGGAGCGGCAATGATTTCTAGGTATCACAAGGAGGTCATTATGTCTAAGTGAAGTGAATACAGGGGAGAGTAAGAGAAGAGGTCAGAGACTTGTGGAGAGGGGTGGCTCAGATCATGTAGGAGCTCATGGGGCTTTTATCCTGAATGAAATGACAAGCCATGGGAAGGTTTGGAGCAGAGAAGATATGATCTATGGGGTTTGTTTGTTTTTATTAACTTAACCACTTTATTATCTCTCACATGATTTGTTTTTAAAAATTTTATTGTATGATCCCAAACTCTATTTTTATAGCAGTCAGTTCCTTATTAAGTTGTGTATATAGTTCTTTGATATGATTTTAACCACTGTGAAAAAAAGTATATAAAAGTTATATCAGCTTACTCCTGGATGGTAGTCTAGAGCAAGGAAGAAGAAGTTAAGGAGTAGAAGCTAGTGGAGATTAAGGAATGGACTGTACCTCCAGAGCACTATCAGTAGCAGCGTAGTCATAGCTCCATTTGTGGAGCAACTGCTAGGTGCCAGGCACTTTACATATGAAGCTTAGAGTCCAGTGATAGTGGAGTAGAAGCTAGTGGAGATTAAGGAATGGACTGTACCTCCAGAGCACTATCAGTAGCAGCATAGTCATAGCTCCATTTGTGGAGCAACTGCTAGGTGCCAGGCACTTTACATATGAAGCTTAGAGTCCAGTGATAGTAGGTTAAGTGGCTTGTCCAAGGTCACTGTACTGGTTTTTCTCTCTTTGCCCCCTTGGATCCATTTGCCCCCATTTTTCTGTGCCCTGTTCTATGTATGCTCTAAGAGGCTGACCTACACAGAAGGCATTATCCAGCATCCCTTCCCCTCTGGTTTCTGGTTGTTTTTGGCCAATAGGAAGCACTGAAGGGCTGGGAGGAGAGAGATGTTGAGATAGTTATACCTGCTGCTATTTCTGAAGCTCTAGCTCTTGGCAGGCTTCAGAAACACTGTTCCCTCTCCTTGCTCCTTTAGGTCCAGAGGTGGTAATGGATCCTAATGTTAAGGCTTCACCATCTTTGCTGGCTCTCTTAACCACATTTACATGTCTGTAAATAGCCCCTTCTTTATACTCTCTTCAGTTACAACCTTTGAGTGTGTCACTTGTTTCCTGCCCAGATCCTAAATGGCTAGAAATGACTTGGCTTGAATTTAGACATATCTTGCTGTTTCATGTGTTTTTCACATATTTCATGCTGCAATTGCTTAAAAACAAGGTGGGGAATTAGATGGGCAAATTATATTTTGGAGGATAAGAAGAAGAAAAAAAAATGAACTGGATAACCACATACAGAAGTATGAAGTTGGACCCCTACCTCATGTCATATAAAAAATTTACTTCAAGTGGATCAACCACCTAAGTACAACAGCTTAAAACCATAAACTCTAGAAGAAAACATAGAAGTGAATCTCCATGACCTTGGATTAGATAACGGTTTCTTAGATATGACACCAAAAACAGAGGCAACAAAAGAAAAATAGACAAATAGGATTTCATCAAAATTAAACACTTTTTGCTTCAGAGGACACTACCAAGAAAGTACAAGCACAATGCACAGATTAGGAGAAAATAGTTGCAAATCATATAACTGATAAGAAGGCTGTATCTAGAACATGTAAAAAACTATTACAACTCAATAATAAAAAAACAAATAACCCAATTTTAAAAATGGGCAAAAGACATGAATAGACAGTTATCCAAAGACGATTTACCAATGGCCAAAAATCAAGTGAAAATATGCTCAAAATCATTATTCATCAGAAAAATACAAATCAAAACCTCAATAACACTTCCCCCTGACTAGGATGACTAGAATCAAAAAGCCAGATAGTAATAAGTGTTGACAAGGATGTGGAGAAATTGGAACCCTCATTCACTGCTGGTGGGAATGAAAAATGGTGTAATTGTTTTGGAAAAAGTCTGGCAGTTCCTCAAATGTTTAAACATAGAGTAACCATATGACCCAGCTATTCCACTTCTTGGTATCTACATAAAAGGAATGAAAATATATATCCACACAAAATCTTATACATGAATGTTCATAAAATCAATACTCATTATAGCAAAAAAAAAAAAAAAAGGTGGAAACAACCCAATGTCCATCAACTGATGAATGGAGAAATAAAATGTGGTATATTCTTACAAAGGAATATTATTTGGCCATAAAAAGGAATACTAACACATGATAAAACATGTCTAAACCTTGAAAACACTATGCTAAGTAAAATAAGCCAGGCACAAAGGACCACATATTATATGATTCCATTGATATAAAATGTCCAGAAAAAGCAAATCCATAGAGACAGAAAGTAGATTAAAGGTTGTGGGGAATGGGAAGATTTGGGGGTGACAAAAAAGGGTACAGCATCAAGTATCTTTATGCTATGGAATAATGGAAGGGTTCTCCTGCACACTGCTGGAAAGAGTAAAGGAGGCTTTGAGATACAGATATGTACCTACCTCATGTTGCAAGCTGGGGCAAGTCACATTTAATCCACCTGGAGCCTCAGTGTCTTTATTTGTCATCCCTACCTAAATCTCAATTCACATCTTATGTGACGTTCACTGTGCCCTCACCTCCATGTCCTTGCACCTCCTGGGACTGGAAATCCACCTCTCCCCTTCACCTCTTTATTTCCTCCCGCTCCTATCAGAGTCCCCTCTGGTCTCAGTTCTCCCAGGGAGCTCTTGGACTCCGATGCTCCTCAGCACTCTATGGTTCCTTTTCTCAGAACACAAATCACACTGGAGTGGGACTGTTTCCTCAGTTGTCTGGCCCACTGGAGGGCAGGGACTGATGTTTGTTTTGTTCATTTGTTTGTTTTTGTTTTTTAAATTCCTGCATCACCAGTGCCTCATAGAGTACTGACCAAAAGAAAGTGTGTAAAAAAGTATTTGCTGAGTAAATGAGTGAATCTGAAAATCAGGGACTTGGTATAGTGGATGTTTAAGACCCCTGGGGCTCTATAGCTGAATGAGTCTGAGGCAACTTCAGGGAAGGAAAATAACTGATGCTAAAATCTTAAGGGAAACAGAATAGGAGGGAATTTATTGGGTCTGCTCTGTCCTAATGCTTGGGCTTGTACTGCAGCATCAGGGTTCAGAGCCATCACTTCTCTTGAGGATTCAGATCCTGTTTAAAAGTTCAGTGGAAGCTCTTTCACCAGAAGCAGGGGAAGCTTCAAGGACCTCTCACCGTCCTCTTCGTCCCAATGTCTCCTGGGCATTAGAGAGAAGATGAGGGACATATTGTCTCTGCTTCTTCCTCATGAGATGGGGTGGGACAGGGTGGGGTGATGAAGCCCCTGCTACCACCTGGCCTTTCACCCAGGGCATAGGAGGCCCCCTTTATGTTTGAGAGAATATGCCCAAGCGTGGTTCAACATCTTGCTTTGAATCAGAGTAGGAGAATGTTCAAATTGAAAAAGATCACAGTCTAATGAACTCTAAACTTTTAAAATTCTAACCAAATACATCTTTTTAGTTTCAAAAATAAAATTATATGCCGATCTACAATAAACTGTATGCTGAACTTCAATAAACTAAAGAGATAAAAATAACAGTGCAGAGATTGGGGAAGGGAAGGGTGCCCCTTGTTCAGGTTTCCTCTTTCTGCCTATGCTATACATCTTTTTAGTTTCAAAAATAAAATTATATGCCGATCTACAATAAACTGTATGCTGAATTTCAATAAACTAAAGAGATAAAAATAACAGTGCAGAGATTGGGGAAGGGAAGGGTGCCCCTTGTTCAGGTTTCCTCTTTCTGCCTATGCCACCCCTAGAAGATTCTGAAGCCCACCTTCTCCCTCCCCCTTCATTGTACAGACTTAGAGCCATGGCCAAGAATGTTTAATGCCCTGACCAAGGTGGCCCAATTGGTGTGGGGAGATCAGCCAAGGTGCTCTCCCCAGATGCCTCCAGGAGAACTGGATATCTGGGAGGAAAGCTAACCTAGAAGCAGGCAGCCCCTCTCTCTCTGCTGTGAACAGTCAGGCACACGTTTCCAGCATATCATCCACACATCCCCCCTCAAATGAAGCAAGAAACATTTAACAAAGCAAATCTGATAGGGCTTTAAGGGAAATCCTGGATCTCAATCTTTGTACAAAGGGCACAGGACTGAAAAAGTTGCATGTTAATTAAATCAGTTAAGCTAAATAATATTTAAGGAGACTATATATATAAAGTATTTTGAAAGCACATTTTCATTCCTTAATAAGCGTTTGAGGAATTCAGATTCCATATGCTGGGTTTTCCCAAGGCAGGAAAAGCAGTGCCTTTACCTGTTCCAGAAGATGGAGGGGTAACAGATTCTGGGCTGTCATCTTCAGGCTCTGAGACGGTGACTGTGGGGACAGTGTCAGGACTTGGCTTCAGACAGATGTCTTGCTTCTCGGGGGTCTTCTCTTGGGTAGCAGTTTCAACAGAAGGCTCAATCTCCGTCAGCGTGATTTTGACAGGGGCACTGATCAGAGGAGGGCTGTGCTGTTCTGCAGAGAGATCATCTATGTAAGGAGCAAATGTGGACTCTTCAGATAAATGGTCCTTGATGATGTTTCCCTCCACAGGAACTGGTTTGTCAGGTTCATGGACCCCTTGAGGTTTTGCTGAGATTTCAATGTCCTTATTCTTACAGTCCAAGTCTTTATCTTCCAACTTGGGGTGACGTTGTTCCTGATGGTTCACCTCCTCTGGCCTGGTTATGTCAATGTATTTATAGGCTTCTGCTTTCATCTGGTCCAGGGGGTCTGCTAAGATCTTGTTGACTTCAATGGATTCTGCAGGAGTCATCTCTATTCCAGAATCAGAACTAAATAAGCCACGAGGCTCCATTGCAGGCACATTTGGTAAGGAGGGTCCAGGGCTACCCAACTCCTCAGGGCTCTCTGAGGTGGTGATGTGGCCATTTTCCTTCTGAAGAATTCCAGTGAAATATGTAGAATCCTCCCGAGGTGGGTAACAGATGTCAGAAATGAGAGATGTGTAACACGTTCTTTCCCTATCTCTTGGTGTTGCTGAGAAGGTGTGATCCACGGCGCCGGAGACATCTGCCACACCTATGAATCAAAACAGCAGCAGACAGTGAGTGGGCATCTGGCTTCAGGTCTCTCTCCTGCCGAACCCACCATCCACCCCTGCCTGTGGAGACATATCTCCCAAAGCACAGGCATGTTAATTTTGCTTGTCTTCCTGATAGTCTAGGGCACTAGTATTTTCCTGGCAGCAGACCCCAGATGTGGCCAGGCCCAGAGGAGTTGGGAACAGATCCCAGAGGACTAGAAAATGGGTTTTCAACATCTACTACCTCAACACCCAGTGACTTGATCTGACTCAGTATTTTTCAAAAGAAACCCTCTTTGTATACAAAGTATTCATGGCTCTTTAAGTGTAGGTAAAAAATGCAGGCTACCGCTTGGGAGCGCGGCGGCACTCCCGCTGAGGGTTCGGATCCCACATACAGACCGGTTCCCGCTCACTGGCTGAGCGAGGTGCGGGAGCAACACCAAGGGTTGCGATCCCGTTGCCGGTCCCAGTCCGGTACGGGCGCGACACTGAGGGTTGTGATCCGTTGCTGGTCACGAAAAAAGACAAAAAGGAAAAAAAAAATGCAGGCTAATTTGGGCTTGTAAACGCAGCAATAGGATAGCTGACTGGGGAGTAGCTGCTCTTGGACACTCACAGAACTGGGAGAGGCCACAGAAATTCTCTGTCACCCCTTTCATTCATGGACTCCTGCTCCAGCCATTCCCTTTTTTAAGATCCTCAGAGAAAGGTACTCCTAGTTTTGGGCCTAATCCGCAAGCAGTATCACCTTAATGGTGCACTACCCTATTTCTTCAGTTCTGCCCTGATTTTGTCTCCCTCATCTTGCACTCCTCTACTGCCCATTCTTTGCCTTCCAGTGATATTCAAAGTGATCCACTGGGAATTCCTTCCTTCCACTGGTGGTGCCAAGGGCAAAACAAGTTTTCAAGTTTGAATCCATGGAATATTTTCACCTGGCCTTCATTCTCTAATAAACCAGCCAAATATTTCATTAACAGTGAGCAGAAAAGCAGCCGTCTATTGTTTTCCTCTGCTCTGAAATGCTGCCAGGAGAGAACTAACATTTACTGAGGCCTTATTATATGCTAAGCAGTGGGATTTTACCTAACTCTTAGAAAAATTTTGTAAATTAAATCCCACATTCTCAACATATGCACACAAACTCATCACATACACATCTACATACACAAACACACGCACAGCATGTAAAATATAAAAACAAGACACAGGGAAGAATATTCCAGACTAGGGTGCCAACACATATAAAAGTAACCAAAGTAGCAGCAGAAAAATAAAAGTATCAGTAGCTAACATTTGAGCAATTGCTATGCATCAGACATAGTTCCAAGCTTTTCATTAATATTGACTCATTTAATCATCAAAGCAGTCCTAAAAGGTCAGTACTATTATTAGCCTCATTTTATAAATGAGGAATCTGAGGAACAGAGGGGTTAAAAAACTCACCAAAATCTCAAAGGCACTAAGTGGCAGAGCCAGGATTTAAAACCCGACAGTTTTCAGTCCTATTGTTCTCCCTCCTTATAGCACTGAATTTATACTGCTTACGTGGCCTGTATGATGTACGACTTATATATATATGTCCATGTTATCTCCTACTAACCTATAAGCTCCTGGAGTTTGAGGCTCATGTCTGGCACACTATATTGTACATAGTAGGCATCCAATACAAAATGAGTATATAAATGAATGGACAATCAATCAATGAGTGGACTTATTCTATGCAGCTACTGAGAACAAATTAGCACTAATTAATGCAAGTTACAAAGAGGATATTTTTAATCTGTCATGTGAAAAACAGTCTAAGAATTTGAGTTATCTAACAATGGAATAGATCTACATCTCAAACAAGAAAGAGAGCCTCACCATCTTTCTAGGCAGGTCCTAGCACTTTGTGGAAAGTTGGATGGGACAACCACAGAAGTCCTGTTCAACTTTCCATGATGTTTGCGTTGACTGGCTTCCACTGTAGTCTCACAGACTTCCTTTACTTCTTTTTTTCTTGTAAAGCAGAATCAGTATAATTTTCCCCAAGGTGATACCTCAGAGAGCAGGGGCTTCCCAGATATATGGTCACAATTGAGGGTACAGAATCTGGATTGCAGTATTTGAGAGACTACAGATAAGAATCAACAATTAGGAAGAACTCTCACCCTTGAAATTCTTTTTCTATCAAGACTCAGAGAGCCCAGCATGAAACTGGAATGACCCCTTTGCCACACTCTACAAATACTCTGCCAACTAGAGGAAGAGGAACAAAGTCATTTGTGTAAATCACACATTTTATTTTTTAATGTTTAGATGAGACCATGTTAGAATCATCATAAAAATATTAAATAATAAAAAAAACCTTAAATATGGTCATGTCCCATTTTCTTAAATTGAGCTAAATATCCTGAAAGATTTTCAAAGTTCTAACTTACTGAATTTGAAATATATATATATACATTCTATGGTGCCTACCAGATAGAGCTCTTATAAACAGAAAGTCCTTCTAGACAGTGAATTATGTGAGCGCAGAGTCCCGTGGGATTGTGGGAACTAAGAAGTGGAACTGAGTCTGAAGTCCCAGGAAGGCCAATTAATTTTTGTCAGCGCTTCCTGCAGAGCTGGCAGATGTGGGAGCTGAGGCAGACAGCACAAGCCAGTTGCCCCGGGCAGGATCCAATATTGTTCTATTGTTAAATACAAATCCACTAAATAAAAGTGCTTTCCTTGTCTAGACTAAAAATTACTGCTTTTTAAAGAAATACAAAAGGATTTCTTGGAATATCTGATTTTCTCATTCTGTCCAGTGTTTCCTGGGCCATCGAGAAGTCTGATTCATGCAGAGGCAGATATACGTCGAGAGTCAACATGTGGACCCACAGATACGCTCTCAGGAGATGACCACATGGGGAGAACACAGCAAATTCAGTTACCTGGATGCATTTAAAATCATATTGACTTTCAAAATTTCAATTTACATGTAAATTTTTAGGAGAGTACTTAACAATAAAAACTGAAGGATCCGTAAGTCACTATTTCTAGCCAAAAGCTAAGTAGAAGCAGGATGAAATGAGCTGAAGCTATTACCATTAAATCACAGTATGTACTGATAAAATCAGGCTTTTGTATCCACCAATGTCATAAATTAGAAATATTAATCATGAGGCAGAAAAATTCAGTAATCTCAGAAAAGGGCAGGTGTTTTCTTTATTTTATTCTATTTTATTTTTAATTCTCTGGAAATACTAAGGAATGGGATAACAGAGACGACTTGCTAAGGATGGTTTTACCTTTCCCAAGGGAATTTCAATCCTAAAATTCTAGTTCTTAACACTGATTCACCTCACAGAATGGAGCTCATTCAGCTGGTGGCCTACAGCTTAGGCAGTTTGTATTTTGGCTCTACCACTATCAATTGCAAGACCATGGACAAGTTAGCCTCTTAGAGTATCAGTTTACTCATCTTTAAAATAGGAGGAATAATAATTCCCACCTTTCTTGGCTGTTAGGAAAATTAAATAAGATAATACATTTAGATCTTTGCCTGGCACATAGTACACACTCAATAAATGAGAGCTGTTGATTTTATTATTAGCTCTATTTTGCAGTGAGGACACTAGTCATTTGCAACATATTACCATCTGTCCATTAGTTTATTCCTTTATCTCTAATGACATGCTATCAGAGTAGTTTTGGCAAAAATGAGTTTAATATAGCCAATCCACACTCATGTTGCTCTCTGGGGTCTGCCTAGATGCTAAAGTTCCCAGAGTACAAAGCCATGGCTGTCTGCATAGCTCCATGAGCAGGTGGTTGTTTATTAAGTACTTTCTAGTAATGCACCTGACATAGATCCTGCCATGAACATGATGATGACTAACCTGAGCACAAAAAGTTGAAATTTACCAAGACAATAGACAGCAAAGGAATGAGAGGGTTCAGTGTCCACAGATGAGCTTTCTTCCTCATGGGTAGAGCCCATTCAGACTCGTTAGGGTTGAAATAAGGGGTGTAAGGTTTAAGAGGATACTTCTATAACTCTCTAAGGCCCCTCTTGGTGCTCTTAAAAAGAAACAAAGAATGCCAGAAAAGAAATGCTGATAATACCAAAAGGTTTTCTGAGCACAGAGGTAGAAATGCTCTATTAGAGAAACATCTGGCTTACCCTTCTTGTTTTGGAATTACAAAAACAAAAAGCATCAATTATTGTTGTAATGACAGTGGGGAGAGAGGTACATATTAAAACTCAAGAACTAAAGGCCAGAATCAATACCAGGAAATTAATCGGCCTTCACCTTTCCCAGTATCCTTTGCCTTGAGGCTGCCCAGTGATGGAGAGCAGCAGCCTGCATGCAGGTTAGGCTGTAAGGCATTTCCCTGAAGCTCCCACTCATCTTTTCTGAGTGATATGAAATCAGCAAGCCCACAGTATGGAAGCTGTGACAACAGAGTCTTCTACAAGGGATGGATATGCCAGGAAGACTCCAGGAGCCTCTGTGTCACCTAGGAAACATTCTCCTGAAATCAAGAGGCCTGTGATTTAACATGACAAGTGGGTGCTAAGAAATCCAGGTACACTCATTCTTTACTAGTTGTACCTATTGATTAGTTAATAGAGTAAAAAAAATGAACCTACTTTCTCTGGCAAAAGATTCTAAGCAGAAGCTGATGACATGCTTGGCATGACAAGTGGGTGCTAAGAAATCCAGGTACACTCATTCTTTACTAGTTGTACCTATTGATAAGTTAATAGAGTAAAAAAATTGAACCTACTTTCTCTAGCAAAAGATTCTAAGCAGAAGCTGATGACATGCTTGGGGGGTTAAGAATATAAATAACTACTTTTTCTTTCCCCAACTTGCTGCCTTGTTGAAACCTTGTCTGCCAGAATAATTTAGCTTTTGGAATTGCAAAATTAATGTTTCATAAAAAATTATTCAGCAAGTTTTTCCTGTGAAGAGCCAGGGTTTGCACTGCCTGGGGAGTTTTCACTTTAGCAAAAAATTCTGTTAGAGGAAAAAACCTGGCCTAGCAGACAGATTGAGAGTTCTCAGCAGTACCTTGGAAAGCATAAAGCTGCAGAGCACTGAGATGAAAAGAGAGTAGTTCTGATCAACTTGGAAGTATGGGATTTTTTTGGCCCACTGTCTAAAGATGAAAATGTGATTCTATCACTTTCTTCAGGGGACAATCTTTTTGTGGGGAGTGAAGAGCAAATATTTGTTTATAATGTACTTAGATCTTAAGGTCCTTAAAATCCTAGACTTTTCATTGCTTTTCTTAAATAACAGCTTTATTGATATATAATTCACATACCATAAAATTCAGTCTTTTAAAGCATACAATCCAGCATTTTTGTATATTCAGGGAGTTATGCAATCATCACCATCTTCCAATTCACCCACCTAATTTAGATGCATTCTACTCTTAATGCTTTCAATACAGAGAAAGCTCTAAGTTTTACCTTTGGAACAAAAATAAGGGCTATTTCCAAACATCTTTCTATTTATCATTTGTTAGTGAAATTTTGATCTCTGATTTCAAAAGAGAAAACTAATTGTTCTTGGTCACATTTCCTCAGTGCTATGTACAACATGAATAGTAGCAAAAAAGACTTGCACTGTAAATTTATTTGCACTTTAATAGTTCCTTTGCTCCCTCCCCCTACATAGAATTATCTTGCTAATTCCCATAACTCTTTTTTTAAAAAGACTGGAAAGCATAAAGCTGCAGAGCACTGAGATGAAAAGAGAGTAGTTCTGATCAACTTGGAAGTATGGGATTTTTTTGGCCCACTGTCTAAAGATGAAAATGTGATTCTATCACTTTCTTCAGGGGACAATCTTTTTGTGGGGAGTGAAGAGCAAATATTTGTTTATAATGTACTTAGATCTTAAGGTCCTTAAAATCCTAGACTTTTCATTGCTTTTCTTAAATAACAGCTTTAATGATATATAATTCACATACCATAAAATTCAGTCTTTTAAAGCATACAATCCAGCATTTTTGTATATTCAGGGAGTTATGCAATCATCACCATCTTCCAATTCACCCACCTAATTTAGATGCATTCTACTCTTAATGCTTTCAATACAGAGAAAGCTCTAAGTTACAACCACCATGCAAAGAATTACCTTTGGAACAAAAATAAGGGCTATTTCCAAACATCTTTCTATTTATCATTTGTTAGTGAAATTTTGATCTCTGATTTCAAAAGAGAAAACTAATTGTTCTTGGTCACATTTCCTCAGTGCTATGTACAACATGAATAGTAGCAAAAAAGACTTGCACTGTAAATTTATTTGCACTTTAATAGTTCCTTTGCTCCCTCCCCCTACATAGAATTATCTTGCTAATTCCCATACCTCTTTTTAAAAAAAGATATTATTTTTTTAGAGCAGATTTAGATTCAGAGCAAAATGGAAAGGAAGAGATCAGAGATTTNCACCCACCTAATTTAGATGCATTCTACTCTTAATGCTTTCAATACAGAGAAAGCTCTAAGTTTTACCTTTGGAACAAAAATAAGGGCTATTTCCAAACATCTTTCTATTTACCATTTGTTAGTGAAATTTTGATCTCTGATTTCAAAAGAGAAAACTAATTGTTCTTGGTCACATTTCCTCAGTGCTATGTACAACAT